GGATTAGGGGAAGGAATTAGAATTGGGAAATAAGAAGGAATTCATTAAGAGTTAGGAATAAAATCAATATTATATAGGTAAGAGATAAGAAGGGTAATTCATTAAGATATACTAAATGAATCTCGCAATCGGATGATGGGAATCAAATCGAAAAGATGATATAATTCAAAAATAAATAGAAGAAGGATTTCGAAATGGATTGGAAGATTTAATTCGCAAACGAATTTTAGAAGGTATCTTTAATTCCCATGATGACTGCATTATTTTTTTATTTCTATTGTTACTTTTAATAATCTATAAGTATACAAAAAAAATATAAATATATTATTAATTATTTTAATTCTTCCCATTCCCCATAAATGATAACTAAATTCAAGTTATTTAAAAATAGGTATAGGTTGTGTAATGGTTTTAAATATTTTTAAAACCATTACACATCCTTGGTCTTGGTGCTTTTCCTTTTTTGCAAAACCAAGACCTAAAAGCTCTTAATGTTGGTTGCCTCCACGTGGCTAAGAGCGGAAACATAAAAAAAATGTAAATTAGAAACATTAATTTTTTTAATTTTCATCTTTTTATGGCTAAAACCAATTATCCACCAAAAAATATTTTTTTTAAAAAATATCTCCACACAGTAACAGCACTACAGGGGAAAATTTTCGGAATATAAAATATCTAAAGCTCTGACATCATAGAAACATATGACTCATTCCAGGTATCATGAAACGCCATAACCTATTCCCAAAAGTTTATTTTCTCAGATCCGTGCAAAGTTGGATCTGAGTTGTATGTATTTAATTATGTTATTTTTAAATTTTATGTACATTTTTAAAAATCAAACTCCCAGGAATTTCAAGATTCTAAAGGTTTCCCTTATATAAATTAAGAGGTCCTGAGATCTGCAAAGCCCGGTCCAAATATGCTCGTTAAGAATTTTTCCGCAACTTGTCCAGCCCAAAATGTGTGCCCAGCTCGTTTAGGTCCAATAATCTATTTTACTAATTTCCGGGCTCTGCCCGTTAAATTCTTTTAAGCAATTATCTGACCTTATTATATATAAAAAATATAATATAAAGAAGAAAATGGGACTACAAGTTCCCAAAAACAAGCATAATCAATATTTTCTTCTGATGTAACGGTGCTGATTTTTGCCGTTTTTTTTAACATATAGTTTCGTCGCTTGACATATATGTCAAATAGAATAGATAAAAAATTGATAAAATATAATTAGTTAATCATTGTATTTATTTATTTTGTCTCGGTAAATGGTAATATTACATGGATTCGAATTTTAATGAAGCGACACATGAAAGCCTAAATAAAGGACTTAAATTAAACATATATTTAGTGTGATATTTGTTTAGATTAAGCTTCTCATTTATATAATGGGAAATTAAATAGTGATATTAATCATAGCTAAAATTGTCATCAAAGTATTTTAATTTCATTTGATTAGAAAAGTTAACCTTTTTAGGAGAAATATTCATATATAATTTTGCAGCTTCGAGAATATAATCTCTCATAAGTTCAGCCCGAGTCTTTGTAAAAATGTTTGTTTTGCCTGATTTTAGATTTAGATAAATAATCTTGAATTGTTGATTTAGAAATTGACATGAATGCTTGATATGGTTCTAATGGATACTTTGTCGCCATGCATTTTTTAAAAAATTTTGTTATAATCTATAATAGTAGTAAACTTATGATTATGTTACCTTGTATATTTTAGTATTTTAAAAAAAATTATATAAAAAAAAATGAATAAATGATGAAAACATTTATAGTGTCCCGCAATTACCCCGTCCGGAATGGCCCCCGAAGCAGTATTTAACATAAATGCGATCAGTATCAAATAAATCCTTGTTCAAAAAAAAACTTAATTTTATTTCATATTTGTTAAGGGTTCAAAATTGTTCTCAATATCAATTTTAATGTGTGGAACTTAAATGAATTAATTTTAAACTAAAAAAAATTTAACAAAATTTTTTTTTTAGTTATTAAAAGAGATATTTTTGCATTATAATTTTTCCAAAGTGTCCGAAACTAAAATTTCAAGTCTCAGTCAAATAATTTTTGAATGGTTGTTCGGATTTACCCCCATGTTCGAAATAGCCCCATTCTCCCCTACTGGTTTATAGAGTTATAACAATATTGTATTCGCTTCATTTTTTTGATTGATTTTATCTACAATCATATTTTTATATCTAAACTTTAATAATCATTCTATAAAATTATAAGCATTGGAAATCTAATAAACACTTTTATGGTGATTGATTTGTATGAGACTCTGGTAAAATGGTTTTATGAATTAATTTTTATTTTTAAATTTAAACATGTTTTCCACCTTTTTATGCATCTATTTTAAGATTTATTTGATAATGCACCCATCCTTATGGTACAAAAATGTTGTCGACATTTTTTTTTTCTACTCGAGCCCAATGGTCTTCTAGATTTTGACTCTGATGAATGAGTCGCACCGTAAATAGATCTCAATTATGATTCCGAAGATTTTTCATATCTCATAGCTTGGATATCCAGGGTGAAAGACTTTCCCCAAAATATCCCCTCCTTCTCATTATCTCCCCCCACCCTTTATTCGTAGTAGAATAATAATAAAAAAAATCAAAAAATAAGTGGAGAAATATTTTAAACAAGTATATGAGAAGGAACTCCAAAGGGACAGGAGAAGTAACCGGCTGTTTAGTAATAAGTCGACCCAGAACAAAGTCTAATGATTATTAAATAAAAAATTTCAAAATATCGAAATGGGATATTTTTTTTTAAAACCAAAAAGTCCTATAAAATTTATTTCCATAAGCCCGAATATCTATTTTGTGTTAGAAAGCTCTAAGATTGACTGATTGCTTAATTCTTTGATGTTTGCGATCTGCTAAAACAATTGAAATTAGTTACTATATTTATTGATATATCAGACACTTAGAGTTGTGTTAAAGTATGTAGATACAAAAATGCGGCATCTGTATCTAGATTCATTTGAAAGTATCTTTTAACAACTCTGTAAATTTAAATCTTTAGTAATATTCTTCATTAATTCCGCATAATAGAAAGGATAAAAAAAAATTGTTATATAAATAATTGTGCTAGCCCAATATAATATCACTTGCCAAAACAAATGGTAAAATGTAAGAATAATAAATGAGTTGGATAAAGATCCTATAAATTTATGTGCTACAAATCAACAAAGGAAATAAAAATATATATGCTAATAGGTGGAGATAAAACAAATTTCTTGTCATAAGAATGCCAACTACCGGCAAATTGAAAGCTGCGTAGGAAATGGGAAAATTTTCATGAGTGCTTCTTTGATAAAACAAAATTCACATAAATTAATCCCAACAAGGATAAGACACGAAATATAAATATGAGAGGTTAAAAGGCATTAACTGTAAAACAAAAACTATTGTTATTGAAAAACAGACTTAGATGATGTTACAACTGAATATTTATTATTAGGTTAAAATATATTTTAAAAGGTCACGTTATATATTTTAAAAGGACGTTATTTTATAACTTTCCGACATGTAGTATTATATTATCGAGGTTAATCAAATTGCATATTATTAGAAGTTAAATTGGTTAATTATATAAATGTATATATACCAAAAGAATTACAAATAAAATTCATTATCGTTTTTTTAAACTTTAATCGATTTAATAGATGATAATATTGGTAGGCAGAGGGAGATAGAAACCTCAATCACCCTAAAAGGCGAACTAACATAGGAAAAAAATGCAGCTTTTCGATTGTAGGAGGTTTGGCATCTGAAGCAATTTCATAATTATAAAGAACTATTTTTGCGAGAAAACGATTCGAGGTTTTTGCCAGCTCTAGAAGAGAGAAAAATATTTAATAAATTCTAAGTTTTTAAAAATGTTATTTTTTTTTTACTATTTTAAATCTTTAAGAAACTTCATAAAATATAAGGTGAATGATTTTTTTATTTTCAAAATTATTCGATTTAACTGACCTTTTAAATATTAAATATGTTATATTATTGTATGACAAATATATTATTCAAATAACGTTTAATATAATCTTTTAAAATAATAAAATATAACAACTATCACTTCATGATACAATTATGGCCAATGTGATGGTAAATTTATAGAATGGCGAATTAAAATTTGTTTTCATGGCTGAGACTGGTGGCCGGAAAAGACAATGATGGGAGATGATTGTCTAACCAGTTGATCGTTTGGGAAGATCTAAAGCCACCCATTGCACAGGCAGGTAAATATTTAGCTAGGCAGTTGGGGAAAATAACGTTTTTTCTAAAATAACTAATAGATTGGATAAGGTTTTCCATGACCGAAAGACTTACATCCATTATAGAACCTGACGTTGAAACAAAATCGCACATAAGGATCTTGCATGAATAAAAAAAACCTACATTAAAAGGATAAAGGATGGCACGGAAGCTCAGTTAATAAAACATACCGTCTATACTCTTATACCGTGGATGAAAATAAAAAAATTGCCCAGAAACATGTGAATCAATTAAAAGAAACATGATTAAATTACCCCCTGTTGATTTTTTTCCATTTAAGTCATAGTTGGGTAATGGCTAAATTTAGGCTAATTCGTCTCAATCGTCAAGGGCCTTCCAGAAAAAATCTATTAATACTAAGGCGCTTTAATTTATATTAGTTTCTTTCAAATTTGAACTGCTATCTTTTTAGAAAAAGTTCCGAGGCCAAAGTGATAGTTTTTCAGCGAAAATCTTGGTTAAGTCCATATTTTTTAGCCGGCTAAAAATTGGCATGGCTAAAAAATATAATAAATAACCAACTATAATTTTTATTTCTTTATTTAAAGCTTTATTAATTACATAGAGTGTCTTTTTTCCAAATACATTGTGTCCCTTTTCTCATTAACATGGATGAGCGGTCACGTTGTTTTTGAAAAAAATCACTGTGTGTTTGAAAAGGACATTATGTGACAAAAAAGCTATATATTAGTGTAATAATAATATGATGGATAATATAACTAGAGAAATAATTCATTTTATTATATAAACTATTTTAAAACAAATTAGACATAAAAAATGTCTGCCCTTTTATAAATCCAAAACATATTATAAAAAAATTCAAATATTATATATTAAAAATTAACATAATTATTATTAGTAATCATAAAAATACCTAATCATTATATCAAACAACATCATGGTTATGTAATATGGTTTAAATACATAAGTCAGTAAACCATGTTATATGAGTATTAAGAGGTGTTGATGCGATACTTTGTATATATGTTTCATTTAATGAGGTGCCAGCGGCATAAATAAATATTTCATAACCTTGAGATTTCATTTTATTGGCCATAGGAACGGGATTTCCTTGAGTTGGGTTTGTTACTAGCATAAAAACGATTTTGCTTGTATTATTTCGACCTGATTTTAATAGCATCTGATTGGCCTTAGCCAACGCGTTGTCCAGGTAAGAAACGCTGTTAACTTTATTCATTTGAATTATAGTTGTAAGCGGATATAATAATGATTAATAAGGCATATAATTTATATAAGTATTTAATATTGAACAAATAATTATGCTGTGCTGAACTGTATTCTATCTATGAATTTCTTTATTAATTTAAAAAGATTTAATATTAAATTATATTATAAAAATTATTTAGAATTAAAATTCATTCCACTACTATATGTTATAAACTATCTGTTACCCATGTCCAAAGTGATATCTGGCATACCATTTAAAATAACATTATCATATGTATTCCCAGATCTCAACGGCAATTTGACAGTGGCATTAGAATGGTACCCGATGGTGCCTACAAGGGTTCTTTGCCCCCCAATAGGATTGGTATAGTTAAAAGTGGACAACATTATCTAATATTAATTAAATTAGAATTAGTGATAATAACATGTTTATTTTCTAAATATATATATCTAACCTCGAAAAAATATGTTGCACAATAATAGTTATTATAATCCAAATAGGCATCTTCGATTATCATAATCATATCCACCGCTTTCGAACGCGTTCTAAATAATTCATTAAAACTTGTTTCTGTTGGACCTGGTACTAGTATTAGATAATTTATAAAAAAATTAATATATATATCAATGACATATATAATACCTAGACTGACGATTCATTCATTAAAAGGTGTACATCAATGCAAATCAGCTGAGAGACGTCATCTTGGTTACACTAATCATTATTAAAATTTTAAACGAGAGCCTAATTTATTCCTATATCTGATGCAAACTTTATTAAAGAATTACCGGATCATCGAGATAATAAGGAAGCGAGTTATCAATTTAATAGTACTTTTAAACATGAGAATAATTAACTATATGTGTTACCAAAATGGCGGGTCCAGCTGATTTGCTTTTAATTTTAATGAATGAATGAATGAATCGTCAGTCTAGATATTATGTATGTCATTGATATATATAAATAAAAATCATAGTGTATAATATAAGCCAAAATTTAGTTGCAAAAATTACGAGATGCGCACAAAGGGGTAATGTTAATGATTAGGATCCAAAGATTGTTGAATATATTTTTAATTTTCATGAGTGCACCACTATTTTATTTACGGTATTTTATTTTTAATTCAGAATTTAAAAAATTAAAAATGGGGAAAAAAAACTTTTAATGCATTTTATAATAATTTATCAATTGTTTTTGAAATTTCGTTATTTAATTTATTTGTTTTATAAAACATTTTTTTTAAAAAAAATATATAATTTGGCCCTGATAAGTAATATTAAATTTCAAATCATTATATTAAAATTTTTACGATTAGCTTATCATTTAAACATGCTCAGAAAATGTTTTGCTCAAATAAAAAAAAATTTAAGTTTGTGAAAAATGTTGGTCGGCATAAATTAGTTAAATTCCCTGTCCGAGTAAGCCTAGTCTTTTTAAAATAAATTGATTTGTTATAAATACTTTGCAGTTTATCATTTCTCTATTTTTAAATCATTCTATCATAAATCATATCGAATTGTTCTGACAAGTCTAGATATGCTTACAAAAAAATATTATTTTTAACCTACAATAGTTACGCATCAGTGGTATTATTAAGATGGCTGGGCTCCAGCGTTATCAAAGGTACGAATCAACTGCATCATTGAAATCGAGGGTGGGGGGGGGGGTACTTATTCAACATAAATAGTCAATATTTCCACTATGTAATTAAATCAAGACATCAAGGGGGGGGCCTCGGTTTTTTATAGAAAAAAAAATTAAAACAAATATTGGCTTATAAATTTTAGAGTTTGAGCGCCGGCAAACTGTAAAATCTAGTGACGACCTATCGTGTTTAAAAGATTTGGCTAGGCAAGTATTTATTATATTTGATCCAATGACATATACAATACCTAGACTGACGATTCATTTATTAAAAAAATGCAAATCAGCTGGAGACGCCATCTTGGTTACACTTATCATTATTAAAATTTTAAACGAGAGCCTAATTTATTCCTGTATCTGATGCAAACTTTAGCAAATTATCAATTTAATAGTAGTTTTTTACGTGAGAATAATTACTATACTTGTTACCAAAATGGCGGGTCTAGCTGATACGACGCTTAAAAATGCATTTTAATGAATGAATCATCAGTCTAGGTTTTATATACGTCATAGATTTGATCAGACAATTTCATTGTTGTTTATTTTATCACGCAATAAGCTTATACATTTTTCTATTGGATTAATAGTTTCTCAAAAGTTTTAAAAAAAAGTAATCACAAAGAATTTTTACAAATATTTTTTTTATTTAACCTATAAATTATTCATTAGAAATATATATTAAATGTTTCTCAAAATATTTTGATTATAAATATGACACCTTTAAAATATGACATATTCAAAAAAATTTAAAATATTGATAATCTTCCAAAAAATTTTGAAAAAAAAACACCTTATTGAAACTAAGCTTTTTAGATTATTATAAAAATAATAATGTAGTTAAAGATGACCTTGATTATATTAATCTTATATGTTTATTTAATAATTAAATCTTAAGTTATACATATAAGTTATAAGCTTTATATTTATCGCTACTCATGAATTTGTCCCCTTTTGTTTTCTATAACATGCTAATTAGAGCAAAACTATAGCTGGAAAATATTAGAGAAAAAATGTTTTAAAATTCACATTTTTAGGCGTAGATTTTAATAATAATTATCTTTATAATTATGCTTAATGGCAATTTTAAATATATAATTGGGTTTAAATTATTTTCAATTCTATGAAACTAGCTTTAGGGCTCAGGTGAATTTTTTTTTTAAAATTTTTGAATGTCTAGGAACAATAAACGAGATAATTAATTAGAGATCTGCAAAAGTAGGCCCTAAACCCAGCCCAGATCCCGCTCCCTGGGTTGGTAGGAATTAAATTTTGAAATAAAATAGATGTATTTTAAATTTTTGCAAGAAACAAGGTGCCAATATTTTTATTTGTTTGTAGAAAGATTAAAAATACGATAATGTTTTGAGTAAAAATGTAAAACTAATGAAAAAAAAATTTCCATTTTAAATAAATAAAGGCTGGGCAGAAAAATAATGTTTTCGGCTAGGGCTTATCGGGATAAAATTAAAAATAATTCGTTTGGGGTCGTGCTGTGCCGGATAAATTATTTGGCCGGACTATGCCGGATGCAGATCACTACATATAATACATATAAACCAAAAATAAAATCATTTTTAATTACATCTTTTGAAGAACTGATACTTGTTGAAAAATTTGACTTAAGCATGTAACTAGTAGCCTTTCTAACGATATAAAAATGTATCGAAATAGGTACCGAGACAAATTAACGGGTCCGATGGTACAGATACAAATACAACTTCTCAAATATATTTGGCATGATGCATATAACGATTGATACCTCTTTGATACATTTTCTATACATTGATGTCAAAAATTTATCAATAAATGCATGTAATATTAAAAATAGCTACACATATTATATACAAAATAGAAATACATATCATATAAATAACTTACTTATTGGCATCAATGCTTTAATATTATTATTTGATTTTAATAGTAAAAGATTTTAAGTTTTATCAAGGAGACATCCTCTCCTATCAATAACAGTATAATAGCGGTATGGAATAAGCTTTTAACTGGTACTGGAAAGAATAATAGTGGTATATTTAATAAATAAGTGTTTAATATTAGAAAAATTATTGAAAGATAAATCTTCAATCTTTATGCTAAAAAAATATCATGATTGTTTTATATTTTAAGTTATTTTCATCAAATAGAATTATAATTTAAGATGATTATAGCGGTTCCGATCAGGGTAGCTGGTCAAAATTTTCAAATCACCGGAGAAATTTCATCAATTTTAAATTTCTGGAGAAATTTAGAAATTGCATAATAGGGAATATGGCTTATTTGACTCCCTTTTTACTCTCAAAATTATTACTTTATCGTACTTAACCAGAGTATCGAACAGAACAGATATAATTTGATATTTTTTAATGAATCTGAATCAAACTGGAATTATAGGAGCTATCCGAGCTTTTTAAAACGGTTGTTGAACTATTTAAGCAGGATAGGTTTTTATTTTATAAATATTAATTAATGTTATAATTTATATTTTATCTTCTTATCACTTTGGCCTTTAGCACATTTCTCTCTAGACATGATTTTTTAAATTATATATTATTAGTCTATTAATTTGTTCTTTTTAACTATTATGTAATAAGGTGATTTCTATTTATCTCTCTTAAAATGCAAATTTTCTAATTTCTTCCATATAATCAAGGGAGATAAACCTTAAAAATAAGATGCATTCCTGTGCGTGTCTATATCTTGATACTCGATATCAATAACATTCTCAGTAAAAATAAAAAAGGACTAGAAAACATTTTATACAAACTTGACATGTGAGATACGTCCTGATGGCATAATAATATATATTATTGACTTCCAAACCACGAAGATGATTTCCATCTTCATTACAAATGAAAGAAAATAGCGAAAGTAAAAATATGTCACACAATAGAAAATACCTTATAACGACATAGAAAGGAATAAAAACATCGATATATTTGCATATTGAGAAGGAAGAAGAGCAGCCCGAAGTCTATCTATCGGAAATATCCATGTCTGTCCCAGTTGCACAGGTTTAGGTTGACTTTAAAAAATTGAAATAAACATCACAGAGAACAAGATTGGACAAAGATATATTAGATGATAATTATATATACAAATAAAAATTGAAAAATAAAATTTTAGATTAGTTATAAAGAGTGTTTTATTTATCTTATTCCTCTATTTATAAAAAAATAAGATTAAAATTGTTTATATGGGTATCCCATATAAAAAAAATAATCACTGAACCTCTTTGAACCTTTATTTAAAAGTGTTTTAACCCTGAGAACCTAAACCTTTATAAAATTTAATTCCTTATCCCGAACCGTACTTTTATAAAAAAAAATTCCTGAAACTTAATCCGATATTTTGAAACACTCTGTACTTAACAAAGTATTTTTTTGAATTATATTATTAAAATTGGTAATATTTTATTTTTATTTTTATTTTTAGTTTTAATTTATATTTCTTTGTAGGGATTTGCTTTATTCATTTTATTATATAAAAGTAACTTTTGATCTGATTGGCGGGACTAAATTTTATAGTATCAGATATTTATTTAACCAATATATCCATTTTTTTTTTACAAAAACAAACCACCTTTTTTGAAAAATTGTTTGAAATTTATGGGAATAATATAATAAACGTTTAATAAAATATAAAATTTAAAAAAATATATATTGTAGATATTTTGTTAATTAAGTTATATAATATATTTTAAAAATAAAATAATATAATTCATTTTACGTTTTCACCACCATATTAGCAGGTATGATCTAGAATGGTGTGAGATTTTACACCGTTTCCCCATTAGATAGTTAACACTGAAAGTTGTCCTAATCTTTTTTTAAAAAAATTTTTGAAAATGAATTGGCGGGGTCATTAAGCATGGTGGTTTTCCCATGTAGAAAATTTATTACATGTAATATGCATTTGCTATCTGAAGACGTTATTGATAAAGATTGAAAAATTAATGGCACAACTGTGTTCGTCCTATGACTATATTGCTAAAAAAAGCGATTTCAAATTGAGCAGATTATTTAACCTTTTTTGACCTTTTAATCCAAGCAATGTCTTTATTAAAACAATTTCAATATTTGCAATCAAAATATGATTTTACTAATCCTATATGACCAACAAAAACCACAAATTGATGTATTATTGTTAATCGGCTAACTCAATATTTTATCCAAAAAAATATATCGTAACCCTTAAAATTTTGCTCATAGATGGCACAAAGGTTTTAACATCTATTAACGAAATCTCGCGGCTTAGGAAATATTTTTTCTGGCTAAAATATTGAGTCGGCCATTTTTAAAAATCGGCTCCAATCGAACCGTTTGACAACACTAAATTAACGGATTTTGCAATTTGATAAATATGTTAAAACAATACCAATCGATATTGATATCTTGTTTTGAAGACATTGTTATACTTACTATTTTTTATGATTCTCCGAAATACTAAAAATAAGAGGAGAAATAGGTTGATTTTTTTTCGTAATAACGATAATGCATAAGCTTAGAAAAAATATGTGAACATATATCCTCATCCA